CCCCCCCAAACAAACAAGGTTAACCATCCAGCTACAGGTGTACTCACTCTCTGCTGAGCGTGTCGGGGTCAAACCTCGGCGTGTTGCTCTGTGTCATGGCAGAGCCTGTGGATGAAGGCGCGTTTGCCGACTGTTTGCTGGCCTTGGCCTGAGCACCGGCGGCCTTGGGAGTGTCCTTGCCCTTGCCTTTGCCCTTGCCGGCAGTAGCCTGAGGGTCACAGGTCAAACGAATGCTTCCATCAACAAACATGATCAAACTAAGGAGGCTGGTAAATTCACACACTAGGATGGTAAAGAGAAGCACATCGACATGACAAATACCATATAGTGCTGGGAAAAAGTAAGGTAGACTGACGGGAAAAAACAGAAAAAAACCCAGAGTAAAAGAAAAGAGGTACAATAGTTGGGCTTGTTAGAGGCATTCTCCAATATTCTGCTTTCTTACCATAGTCATCATTATCATATTAATGATATTATTACTATTATCATATGTTCCCATTGGCAAAAAACCCATGACCACCAAGCTATTTCCATAAAGTTCCTTCAAGAATGATTGAGACTTCTGGAATTGTTAGTATTTATTTTCTGAACCAGAATGTAAATAAGTTGTATAATATGCGGCAACATTCATTGAAAAAACATTGCGCAATCTCAAATTTCAGAGTAACAGAAATGAAAACATAAAAACAGTTGAAAGGATTTAAAATGTTTTCTCATCTGCAATTCTTAAATAAAACATAAAACACCAACATAACAATTAGCCTTTATCTTCGGTGGTTTTAACGGTAGAGAAGCACAAAAACTGTTTATGCACAAAAACTGTTTATTAAATCTGGATCTAAATTGTTTAAAATTTGGGAATCATTTAAACAAATTTTGAAGCTCAACAAGGTCGGGAGGAAAAATGAAAGGTGAAGAAAAGCAAAGTCAATGGAAGTGGGTCATTGACAGGGATCTCATACACAAAACAAGCACAAAGTGAAACAACAAATCATATATAAATCCGTTAGCAATCAGTGAAATGATGAACTAGAAAAAAAGGTAGAATTTGGCAGAAAAATGCAAATCTGTTCCCAAACCAGGAAAAGCCCAACAATAGAACATCCCTCACATCCTCATCCTCATCCTCCTCTCCCCCCTCCCGAAAGTCCTCTTGGTCAAGGCCATCCTCCTGTCCAGTAACAAGATCTCCCTGGGAGGCTGGCACAGACTCAGGAAGAGTTTCCGTGCCGTCAACATTGGAACCGCCATCTTTGTCCTCCGTCGTTTCTTCTTTATTGTAGTTCGCATCAACAGCGCCTGGTTCTTCTTGCAGGCAAATCTCAAAGAAGCTTGTGCGACCACTTCTGCAGGATGCACTTTTCCACCCAGACTTTGCCAAACTCCCAGAATTCCTGCTCCTTCCAGAAAAATCATTTTTGTTCACACCACAAGGGAAATGTCTCCTCTCTTCTGCTTCTTCTCCTTCATTGCTGGCTTTGGAACGTCTTGTCTTCCCATTGGGGTGTGAGTTTCTACGTTTGTTTATTTTCTTCCTCATGTATGCTCGGTACCTCCCATGTCGCTCTTTCTCCATCTCACATGGTTCACAATATTGGATTTCCACAGCGGGCGTGACTTCACAGGACCTCAGTGCACGGCTGCTCACACCACACAAAGTTGTACTCACACCAAGACCATTGTTGGAAGCCTTTCTTGCCACAGATTTCTTCTCACTGCCTGAGAATCTTTTACGATCTTCAACATTTTCTTTCTTTTCGTCTGCATGAAGCCCATGCCCCCACTGAGTGCTCCTCTTTCCTTTCACAGAGTTCATATTTTTATCAGCACCACAATCATATCCACCATCGTCTTCGTTCTCTTCATCACTTTCATCATTTCCCCACACGTTATTCCTGCTTTTATTTCCTTTCTTTGATTTCTTCTTTGCCTGGGCTTCCGCCAGCTCTCTCTGTTGTTTACAACAAAAATAATTTTTTAACCAAGCTCCACAAAGCACAAAATAGACAAGAAAAGACAAGATAAGATACACTTCATTATTTCTTCTTAGTTGGAAGAAACTGACAATGTGCTTTCACCAGCTTCTGTGATACAAAATGTAAATAAATAACCAAGGGTATCCCTGAGACGCAGGGTTGTAGCCTCTCTCCTAAATTATCCAGAAGGGCTAGAACTCAAAAGGCTGCTGGATCGGAAAAGTGAAAAGTTAAAGTAAAGTAAATGATCTAACTTGTTTCAATGGGGGTGTAAAACACCTACATTAAAGAAATTAAACAAAAAATTATGTCTTCTTCAGCTAGCGAAATACACAGTGAAATAGAAAGCAAAAGATCTTGTTCAGTATCTTGGTGTTTTAGCACCCACGAAATGGCAGCTTCAACTCAATGTCTCCATGGAAGCAGAGAATATTTCTTAGTGTTCCGAGGTGTGCTGGGGTAATAGTAGTTGTAAAACACAAAGTTCAGAGAGCTTGCTGTAGAGCATTGATATAAATGTTATTATCATTATCATAATCGTTAAAATGATGATGATGATGATTTGTTGTTGTTGTTGTTGTTGTGGTTGTTGTCATTGTTATTTGTATCACCATCATTATTATTATTTCTATCACCATCATTATTATTAGTATTAGTATGAGTATAGGTATTACTACTATAATCATCATCATTATCATTGTTATTTCTATTATTAGTAGGCCTATTAGTAGAAGAATTCTAATAACCAATCACAAGAAGCTACCTCTTTGTTCTCCTTCTCCATCTTCTCCCTGAGTGCCGCCTCTTCCCTCTCCTTCTCCTCCCTGGCCGCCTCCAGTTTGGTGTGGATGCGTAATGCTTCTTGTCTCACGTCGTAGTCGCTCAGTGTCGGGGAAAAGCGCACCTGGATCCGACATTTCTGGGGGGGGGATGATTGTTCATTGGTAATTTATTCAGAACTGAGGTCTATGGTGTAGTGATTAGGCACTTTGCTGTCAGGCACAGGATACCTGATTCTTGAGTGAGTAGAATTTTCATTGAGCGCCTCAATTTTTCTGCTGGGAAGTGGTATTCCTCACATCCCAGGTTGGCCCTGACTGGCTGGCAGGGTAAAAATTTACCCCCTAAATGAGCTAAATTGTGTTAATGTTGTGTAAAAATGCCTACACACAAAAAAAAATTCTGTAACCTGTCTGTGAAATTATACAGGTTTAATGCTCCTTGCAACACTGTCAAAATATCTAAGAGGCTGGACCCTCAAATTCAATGTGTATTTCCAATAAGACCGAGCCCTTGTGAAAAATAAGTCTGTCAGCTTAAGTTACCTGTGTTGGACACTTGGATCGACATAAAGGCAAAATAAAAAATGTTGTATTTTCATTTCTTTTGACCATTTTTTTCTCAACTGGGATGCTAAAGAATTTTTAAAAATAGGAAAACACAAAATAATGCAGTCCTTATAAAGAGTCAACCCTGCTTTACATTATGATAAAAAAACACAAAACAACAGGGTTAAGAAAGTTTCAGAGATGGTGTGGTCAATATGAACATTGAAATGAGGAAGTGAGTTACCTCCCCTGGCATGACAGTGCCCACTCTGGGAGAGACCGTGAAGGGAACGTCGTTGGGGACCATAAACTCAAACGACGTCGGGCCCACAGGACAGATTTCTCCTGTAAAATACAAGTACAGAGTGCCACTATACTGTAAAATACAAGTACACAGTGCCACTATACTGTAAAATGCAAGTACACAGTGTCACTATACTGTAAAATACATGTACACAGTGTCACTATACAGTAAAATACATGTGCACAGTGTCACTATACTGTAAAATACGTGTACACAGTGTCCTGTGGACTCATGGCCATACACTTGAAAGCATCACCATTCAATATCACTGTTATCCAAGCATATGCACCACAGGTGCACAGAGTCACTATATTGTTAAATACATACACACTCTAGTGTAAAAGAAACACACTGACACTCCACTGTAAAATACACATTGACACCCAACTGTGTGGGAGGGAGGTGGTACGGAAAGGGGAGACAGGGAGTGGGGGAGTGGGAAAGCGAAAGGGGGAGAAGGGGAGTGGGAAAGGGAGATGGGGAAGGGGCGATGAGTGAGGTGGAAAGACAACCCCTACAGAAGAGACTCACACATACACACACACACACTCGCACACATACACACACACACACACACACACACACACACACACACTCACACACACACACACATGCACACACACAGACCTTTCCCAATGCGCGGCACGGGGTGAGTGAACTCATTGCTGCTGGTGTGACTGTTGACCACATGGAAGGCCACGCTGCTGACGTCATAGAGGGGGGTAGCTGCGAAGTGGATCACCTGGTGGGACAGTTCCAGGGGGGTCAACACTCCCACTCCACACACCTGGATCTTGAAGTCTCTGTGAACATGAGGGGATGCAGATGATGAGATCTACAAAAAAAGGGAGGGTAAATTTTTGACGATCCTTTGTTTTAAAAAAATGAATAATTTTTTATCTTTGACACTATAGGCCTACCTAATTCATGACAAGATACCATGGTACCGGCTGTATCATGTCAAGAAGCAGATCATATCAACATGAACACCGCAAAACAAGCAAAAGGAGCAGAATAAATCAGAGCACCCAGCAATCACCCGTTTTCCCACACACTCTCACATACCTGTTGATCAGAGAGCGACAAACAAGCTCTAGCTTGTAGTCACGGGTTTTTCGCGGGCTAAAAATAACATCCAGCTCTAAGGTCTCCAAAGGAAGAAGAGTTCCAAAACCATCATTGGGCTGCACTTCAATGTACTGGTTTGGGGGTGGGTGTGGGAGGAGGATGGGGGGGGGGGGGGGGAGGGGGAGGAAACAATAAACATTTTCAGATATTCAGAAAATAAATTTTTGTCCAAAAATAGACAAAACATTTTTCTATAGATACGGTAAGTAATGCACATTTTGTATTTCTACTTTCTGTGATGTCATGGTTACAATTTTTTACGGTATTCGTAGAGTTCTATTCAAGAGAGGCAAAGTTTTTATCAAGTGGTTCCCTTCCGAAAGAGGTATAACAAACTATTTGTAGCTTCCTTTGATGATGGGAAATTATAGCTAAATATGTAACAGACCCCCCTCCCCCCCCCACTCCATTCTGACTGACCAAAATTTGATTTCGTCCAACCAAGGAAAAAAATTCCACAGACAACCCCCAAAAAAATAATCCTAACCTCTGGCAAACCAACAAAACCAAACTGCTGTGGTAAGATGGACAAGTTGGTCAGTTTGATGGTCTTCTTGACCGATTCGTGGATGGTGCAGTGGCCAAAGTCGATGTCCGAGACGTCAAACTCCAGATCTGATGTGGTCAGTACGGCCTGCACTGTGAAGTTTACCGGCGTCGTCTGGGGAAAGGGAGAAGACTTATGAGTTAAGTATAGTTTTAACCCCTCAATTCCTCACATGTCATGAAAATCACAATTTTGTTTTCTTTTTAAATGTAGGCACTTTTACATCCCCATGTAAAAAGCAAAATAGACCAACAAAAACAGCCACAGGAAAGAAAGACGTAGGACCTACCAGTTGCATTCTCCAACCACTATTGCCCAATTCTGTAACCCAGTTTGAAACAGGAAATCAAAAGATGAGGTTACTATGCTATAACATAAAGTGTAGTCTTGTCAATTTTTGCAGCCATGAACAAGGAAAAATTGAGGCAGAGAGCAATAAGGGAAGACCGCCTTCATTATATTTCAAAAATGTAAAATCTGATAGTGGTCTTCAACCTCATGAAAGACGGAGGCCTGTTTTAACAAGCAGAGGGGCACCAACAGGCAAACTTGACCTTGGTGACAGGCGTCAGTTGGCAAGTGACAGATGACAGGTGACCTACAGTGGACATACCTGATCAGCGACTCTGATGGTCATTGGAGCTTCAAGAACTCCCGTCTCTTTGTCAAAGTACTTGGCTGCTTCTTCAAACAGACTCTTTCTGAAAAAGTAAAGGAAAACATAACACATCATCACAGACATTACATAATGGCCAAGTCATCTTTTCACCAAACTTCTCGTTATTGGAGTGGTAAAAATGCCTGTTACTTGTTTTGTATTCATAATAATTATAGCATGGTTTTATTTTGTGTACTAAAATCCAATTATTGAGACAGTTTCAATTTTTCTCCAGTCGTAAAAAACTCACTTTAGTAAGTTCTGTGTTTGTTATTGTTATTTCATTTTTGGTTCTCTCAAAACAAAACAAAAATGACTTCAGTGTTTATTTTATGCATATAGATTAATCAGGAACAGAGTTATGGAGACATTTGTTTTGTGAAGCTGAAAAGTTGGAAGACAAAATTGACTGTGGGCAAATAGGGAACAGTCTTCCATATAAGAAAAGTACAAGATCTGACCAAAGCAGACAAACCTGGGCAGGAACTTGAGCTGAGCAGAGAACTGAGACTGTGCCTGGATGTAGCCTGTGCGAGGCAGAAGTTCCAGATGGTTCCGCAGCTCTTTACACACTTCAAACTTGAGACGCAACGCGGTGGTCGCTCTGAGACAGAGGACAAAAACAAGGCGTGAAAACTACAGGCACAATTGTTCAAGACGACCATTCATTGTTGAGGAGAGAAGTGGTTGTCTTGGATAGGTAAACATCTTGGACAGTGTAACTATGATTTTTAAAACAAATGCAAGTGGGGAAGTGGGAAGTGGTCGTTTGTACAGGTGACTGTCTAGGACATGTGACTCAGTTAAAGCAGGATTGACCATACTTACTTCTGAATAGTAGAAGAAACATATGATACATTTACTTGTAGGGGGCTATTGCAAATGTTTTTACACCCCCACAGAGACCCCCCCCCCCAGGCAGCGCTACTGACTGAAGTGTCTTTAGGCCATTCCCAAAAGGAGGGTTATTAGCATTTTCTTACTCGCAGTAGAATTGTAAATGGGCTGCTTTATCAATGTCATACTCATACAGTGCCAGAACAACATAGGGGGAACTGCTACTTTTTCTTTCCTCATTCCTACGACCGTCATTTTTCCTCTACTTTTTTTGTATGTTTATCACTCTCTTGAGAACTGATATTTCTGGGGTGTCTTGATAGTTGAAGCAGACTTCGTGCTGTTGAGGCTAGAGATGAGCAGAGTAAGCCTGATTCCCCATTTGGACTTCTCTGTTGACATCCACCCCTTGGCGCTCATATAACCTTATGCAGTTGCAAGCTCGGTAACACCTTACTAAAACAAGCCACAGACACAATCTACATCATTAACGAGATGGTAAAGATATCTGTCTTTTAACTCATTCATGGCAACGAGCCGACTGATTAGCTCAACATCTTCCTCGTCACATCTACCCAACCATATGCATCTATAAACACTCAAGCTATCCCAGTCCAGCTTTTCGGAAATAGTATCCATGTTTAGATTTGAAAATATTCATTTTTTTTTCAAAATTCCACACCTTATTTCCTTTCATTTGATATTCAGTATGTTATACTTTGCTAAACAAATCAGTAAGTCAGCGGACAAAATTAAACGCATGAAGTAAATAGGTGTACGCTGGTAGAAGAAATAAGTTCAGGAGGATGAAGAAATTATTACCTAGTAAGCACGTTTAAGGGTTGGGGGAGGGGAGGGGGGTGTATTTTTATGGTTTAAAGCCCCAATTACACCTAATACACCATTAAGGCAGCAGTACAAAATGGTGTAGTCACTGACCTGTTGTTGACGATAATGGTGTCCTGGTACAGACGGTCAAACATACAGATCTTCAGGTCCACCGTCTGTCGCTCGACCCACACGGGAACGTCAATGGCATTAGCCAGAGCATGGATGGACAGCTGAAAAACGTTGGAATTGCTGCTTAGCAAGAGCATGAATGGACAACTGAAAAACACTGGACTTATTATAAATTAGTTTGCTGCCATAAGAATAGAGTTCATATTTTTTCAATCTTTCTTGAAAGACTGGAAAGAACTTTGATTTTTTATTAATTTATTAAAATAAGACAACTAAGATGATGTACAAACAACAACGCTGCCATGACAGACAGTCTGAGTTTGGGGAAAGAGAAGTTCATTGACACAATAACAGTCAAATAGTGCAAGTTTGAAGAAAGACAGTGGACAGAAAGAACAGAGAGAATGAAAAGAAGCAGGACCTACCAATAGCACCCTCCAAGTGTCTCCCATGACATGACAGACAGACAGCAAAAACAACATGATGGACTGACAACAAAGATGGCATGATAGACAGACAGCAAAGATGACAAACAGACAGACAGACAGCAATAACAACATGATAGCCTGACTGCAAAGATGACATGACAGACAGACAGACAGCAAAGATGACATGACAGACAGACAACAGTGATTACAACATGACAGACAGACAGACAACAGTAATGACAGTTCTACACACAGACAGACAGCAATGACGGGCACCCTCACCGGTTCACTCAGGGGGTCAGTGAAGGTCACCAGAAACTCCGAATCCACTTTCCCAGGGATTGTCGGCTGCCAGATAATCTCCAGTCTGAGAGAAGAGAAAGGTCCAATCTCCCCGGTGATGAGTGGACCAACCCGCATCCCGTCAAGTGACCCGTAGTCGTCCATCTCGCTGACCGCTAGATCCGGGGAAGTTGCTGGAGAGAATAGTTACAAAAGTGTGCACCCATTAATTCCTCTGATGTGATATATATTATAAGGACAGTTTTATTGACTGCTAGACCCAGGAAAATCGCTGGAGAGAAAATATGAAGCAACAGAAGAAAAACTGTTTGACAATTCAATCTACATTATGTAGGCCTACCTTTTCTTTCTTTTTTTCCACTTTTAAGAATTTGAACTTTTGAACTTTAACAAAATATCTCTTGAACACATGCAACTAATACCACAGATGAAGAAACTGCAATAGGCCTATACAAATTTGCAAAGTTTTGGGCTTTCATCTGAACATTCTGGCCAATAATATCTGTGAGTTTGTGACTATCCAACAATAACTTTGGAACGAAGGCAGCCAGACTGATTTTGTATTCACTCACTTGTAGGGTTTAAACAGATCTTTAATGTGATTCCCACAGTTTACATCACAACAGAAATCAGAATGCAGTCTTCACCGAAGTCAAAGAAAAAATCAGTAGCCGTCTGCCCAACTCACCTTCGTCCGACTCTCTCTCCTGTTTCTGCTCACTGCCCTCGGGCGCCGAGTCAGCCGCATTTTCCTCGCCGGCCTCGGCGTCTTCCGGCACAGGTTCTGGCGGTACGCTTACCTCCCCTGCCTCCGGGATTTTGTCCAGGGCTGAGACAAATACAGACACGGTTTTGGAAAGGCACAATTTGGTGTTGTATGCTGTGGTTTGAACACATTTAGAATGGCACAGTGCTCTTTCACTTTGATATGCTGAGGTATGACATAGTATGGTATAGTATGACATGATTTAGTATGGTATGGTGAGGTGTTATAAAGGTTACTATGAAGTAGTACGGTACAGTATTGTACAATACAATTGTGAGGTACTGTACAGCACAGTATGGTATGGCATGGTGAGGTGCAATGTTATATGTGAGGCAGCGTGGTGAAATCAGGCGCTCGTCAAAATAATGATAGAGGAAGAAACTGGCCTTTTTCTGTCAGTTTGGCAATTCATTTTTACTGAATTTCTGTTTTTTTGGCTAAACACCATGGTTGTCCAATTAGGAATACGTTCTGTATGGATTTAACTTTAAAATGTTGATTGAAGGCACAAATAATGTAAGTTTTCAGTTTCCATGGACTATCCAGCTTTCGAAAACTTTGGCCGCTACTTTCTCGCTAATTTTACCTTTGAAACCAGGCGACCCCCACCTTCTTTAATCTCAAACATCTCGACTTTTTTTCAAGATCGATGGGTATTTTTTTTCACCGATAGCAAGACAACTGAACAAGCTTTAAGATGATACCAGCGCCTGATTCCACAGCGTCATGACACATATAGTGTGGTACGGTGTAGTATGCTATACTACAGTATGGTATGGCATGGCACAGTATGATATGGTTTTGACACCTCTTTCAAACATTTCAAAGTTTATATCTAAGAGGCTGGATTTCCAAATCTAGCATCAATCTTCAAATTGAAAAAAACAAACTAAATTCACCTCCTCTGACATATTAACCCTCTCAAATCCCCCCCCCCCCCACACACACATACACACCCCTGAGCCTACAGGACCTATGCATCTTAGCTCCCATGTGTCCACTGCTGTCGGCATCCCTGACCGTTTATGACGCCACAGCATCAGAACAAAGAGAGAGAGAAAGACTACTAGACATTTATCCCCATATCCCACACAGAGATAAAAAGTAGTCACAGCCCAGCGTGCACTCAGGTGTACCGGGCTAAACAAACAACAAACCTTCTTCCGACTTTTTCCTGCAGTCCACAGCCAGGTTACTTCCTGCCTGTTTGGGTTTCTCCGGCACGGCCATGGAGTCCTCCGGGCTCACCGTGCGCATCGAGTCTGTGGTCTGTTGACCGGACAGTTTGTTATATCTTTGTGATGTCATTGTATGTGTGGTTTGTGGACAGTCTGGTATGTTTGTGACGTCATTGCATGTGTGGTCTGTGCACGGAACAGTTTGTTATCTTTGAGATGTTATTGTATGTGTTGTCTGTGGATGGGACAGTTCGTTATGTTTGTGATGTTATTGTAGGTGTGGTCTGTGGACAGTTTGTTATCTTTGTGATGTTAGTGTATGTGGACGGGACAGTTTGTCACGTGAATGTAGATGTTTTACAGCCCAACTGAAACAGTTTAGATACCTGTCAGGGTTTGTAGTCTGAGGAGAGGACAGTTTGTCATGCACATCAGTAAATTTTTACACCCCTATTGACACAGTATTGTCAGGATTTGTGGTCTGCGGAAAAGTTCTGAAACAGTAAATGTTTTACACCCTCATTGACACACTTTAGACACCTGTCTGTGTTTGCGGTCTAAGGAAAGGACAATTAGTTTTGTAACTGTAAGTGTTTTATGCCCCAACTGATCAAAATTTCGATACCTGTCATGGTCAAGAGGCTGAATCTTTGTATGGATGTTCAGGCACATCCAACCAAACTCCTCTCGTGGTTCAATTAAGTTTACTTTATTTTACCTTATTTTATCTTGTCTTGTCTTTTTGTGTCGTGGCGTGTATTGTCTTGTCTCATTTTATCTTATCGTACCTATCTTGTCTTAAGCTTGACCAACAATTATAACATCTGCATCGAGGAAAGAAGAAACAAATTCAACTAATCCGAAAGGCAACATAAAAAATTTATAAAGATAAAGAAATTATAACCAAACAAAAAAGTCCCAATTGATCAAACTAGAATATTTTATAAGAATACCCGAAGACTGGTTATGGATTTCTGTTTGACATTTTCCTCAAGTCTGGCTCCCATTTCAACATTTTCCAAAGCCGAGTCATTTTCCGGCTCATTTTCTTGCCCATTTGCTGCTTGTCGCTGAACACTAGACCTTGCAGATTCCTTGAGAGAGGCTCTCTCAATTTCAGAGACCCGATTCTTGGTTTGACTTTCCTCCTGATGTTGGGTCAAGATTCGTTTTGAGTCATTAAAAAGGTTTTTATTTGAGTAAAGAAAAGTACACTGACACAATAACAGCAATTTAGTGTGGGAGAAAGTAAGACAAAATATAACAATTTAAAAAAAAAGGAAGGTTTGATTATCCCCCCCCCCCCCCCCCCCCCTGAAAACCTCACCTTCCAGCATGATGAAGATATCAAACTTTTCATTTCAATATTTATCTTAGTCTCTTTATATCTAGTTTACCTAATGTACATTTAAATTTACATGAGTATATTTCTTTTGACCTCTGTATACTTCCCTTAACCTCTGTATATTTCCTTTCACCTCAGTATATTTCCCTTCATCTTTGTATATTTCCCTTGACCTCTGTATATTACACTAGACCCCTGTATGTTTCTCACCATTCGTCCAAGTGAAGTGCCAGCCGTGGTCAAAGTCCTTTGTTTCATTCCGGTGACCTTGAAGAAGTCAAACTTGGTGCCCAAGGCCCCTCGGTTGGTGAGGGTGAAAGTCCTTTTCAAGGTCTCCCCAATGACGGTCGTGCCAAAGTCAACGGAGCCGGTATCCAAAGTGAGCTGAGAGCAAAAAGTAGTTCAGAACAACTTTAGTCATACCTATTGTTAGGAATATTTCATGATATCACCAGTGAATGAATGTCCCCAATTCAGTAGATTGCTCAAGAGTGGTGCCCTCCCATTACCCCCAAGAATGAACACATATAAATCTCTTTATTTTTAGTATGAGTCAAGAAAAGCACATCAACACAATAATGGCTACTTAGCACAACAAAATAAAACAAGATGGACAGACAGAAGCAACAGTGGGGATGAAAAGAAGTAGGACCAGCAAGCCACACCCTCAAATCACCCACACATGCACCACGTCTTTCATTTTGCAAAGCCAGACAACAAGACTAAAGGAAAGACAAGTGGATCTCATTGACAGATGGCAATATAGACCTAGAATTATCAAGATGAATGTGATGTTCCTGAAGTAGCCCAAAGGGGGAAGTATTGATTTTGGAACTTACTTTACAGTGTTATAAGAATAGAAATACTCCAGTCTCCACCAACTTTTTCCCTTTTTTTTTTCATTATCATGCTTACAATAATGAATATGAATATGAATATGATGATGATGGAGATGATGACGATGACGATGACAATGACGATGACAAAGGCATATTAAAGTAGACTGAATGATGGATTGGAGCACTATGACGATGATGACAACAACAATGAGGATGATACTGGTGACAATGTGATGATGATGGTATACTAAAGCAAGGAGACTAAAAAATAATGATGATAAGCACAAGATGCACTTACATCACACTTCTTTGTGCTGCACACCAGCGGGATGTTGAAGGGTCCTGTCTGTGTGAGGAAACTGACCTCTCCCTTCAGATCTTCGTTGATCTGAGGGGGAAAAAACAGTGGTAATAGTTATCTGTAAATGAAGATACGGATGGAAATAATACTAAATGATGATGATGATAGTAAAAGAAGATAATTGTAATAGTCATAAATGAAGATGATGATGGTAGTAATATATGAAGAAGACAGCAATAGCGGTAAATGAGGATGATAGCAATAATAACAATAACAAGGAGATGGTGATAACGATAAAAAATAAAATGGGTTGATAGTTGTAAAAATACGAATGTTGGTTATGATAATGATAAATAAAGATGACTGTAACAATAACAGATAATAATGAGGTACAAAAAAATTATACAATGATAATTTTTTAAAGTGTTGCTTTTTTCACAAATAAAATAGATTTCTATAGAAACCATTAATGGAATAGTTGCTTGTGCAACACTTCAGCTTTTCAAGTAATCATTAATGATGTGAAACTCTCAAAACAATGAAAGTTGAGAGAAGGATAAAGAAAAAAGTAACAACCCAACAATACATTTATATGAGAAGCCACTACAGCATTCTAAGACTAATCTGTTGCCTCCCCCCTCCCCCCCCCCACAAATTACACACACATTTAGAATTATAAGTGAAGAGGATGGTACAGTGTACTTGCTATAAATCAAGATGATAGGGGTAATAATAAATGAGGAAGGGACATCACTTCTATGACACAAAATACAGTTCAAGTGACATGTGAACTTACCATAGGTTTGAATGTGACGGTCATTTCACAGGTCAACCCCGCAGACATTTGACCAGGTGGGTCAAAACTGAAACAGGTAAAGATGGGTTTTTATTTTATTTTTCCTTATTAATTCCCCCTCCCCTCCTCCCCCCAAACCAGTGAGCTAAATAGTGAAGAAAGGAAAAAAACCCATTCAAACAAGAACATCACAGTCAGTATGAAACAGTAATAGATCTCAGATCAATGACTTACATCTGTAATCTTGGAATTTCTATCTGTTATAACAGTTATTTGTTACACTAAGTAGGCCCTATGCATGTAAAACACTATTGGACACTATCATACGCACATTTTTTTACTAATCAGATGGTGTCAATCTCATATAAATGGGCGAGGGGGAAAAAAAAAAGATGAACTATGTGAAAGAGAGACAGAGAAAGAGAAAGAGGAAAAGAGGCAGAGAAAAAGAGACTAAATAAGGGAGACTAACTACGAGAGACTGAGAGAGAGAGAGAGAGAGAG